TATAGCACATTTATAAATATTTCTGGTAAGTAATGTATTTTCCTACCATCCAAAAAAAAAAAGTATTTTCCATGTCTCATTTTCTTATGTGTTCTCGAGAACTAAATAAGTAAAAATCCCTACAGAAGTATTTGTCCAAATCTCTAAATTGGGCTTTAACGACCCGAGCCCCAAAAATTCGCCGGGAAAATTGCGATCAGTCGGCGCCGGAAAATGCCTCCACAGTTTCCGACTGCTATTTCTTCCGATTCTGATGTACCTACACGAAACCCATTCGAGTACTTCACTGATTCCGTCACTTTTCCTGATTTTCGTACGGCGTTCTGTCTCTTCATCTGATTAGGGCCTTTGAATTTCGTCATGAGTTGCTCACGGATTCGTAAAGAATCCGAAAAGCCGAACCTAAATTGGGAAGAGGCATTGAGGCAGTATCAAAATGTTATGGCTTCAGAATCCGAGGCTGTTAAAGTGAAAGCCACAGTCAAATTGGCTAATCTCTCTCAATGTGCCCCGGAGAATATCTTGAACAGCACTATACCCATTATCGCTAAGCATCTTGGAGATAACCCCATCACTAATTCGAGCCAGTCCATGCAAGGAGCTGCAGCATATTGTCTAAGACGCATATCTTGTCGAGGTGATGATGGTACGTTAGCCATGGCGGTAGGTAATTCCGGCGCTTTAGAGTCTTTGCTGAGGTTGTTGCCATATTCTAACGGTGGTTTCCGGAAGATTCTAGTTAAATGTGTTTGGAGTGTTGTTACTTTTGGTAAAACTAGTCGTGTGATTATAGCTAGGAATGGGGGTTTGGAAGTTATTATTGGTATGTTGGATTCTGTGATTGATGCTTCTAGAAGATATTTATTGGAGATTTTGAGTGCATTGGCACTATTGAGAGAGGTTAGGAAGGCCCTTATAAGTTTAAGAGGCCTCCCCTTTCTTGTGGAAGCTGCTAGATGCGGCTGCTTGGCCTCCAGAGAAAGAGCTTGCCAAGCAATTGGGTTACTTGCAATTACAAAGCGTGGAAGACGCATGCTTTTTGAGCTGGGAGTGGTGCCGGTGCTTATCGAGCTATTTCGTGGAGGGGATTGCACAACAAAACTTGTAGCAGGTAATTCCCTGGGAATAGTTTCAGCTCATGTAGCCTACATTAGGCCCGTTGCACAAGCTGGGGCTATCCCTTTGTTTGCTGATCTTCTTCAGTGGCCTAACCACCCTATTGGTAAGGAGATTGCTGAGGACGTCTTCTGTCTCTTAGCTGTTGCTGAGGAGAATGCAGTTGTAATTTCTGATCATTTAGTGAGAATTCTTAAAGAAGGTGATGATGAAGCAAAGGCTGCAGCTGCTGACGTTTTGTGGGATCTTTCAGGGTATAAGTACTCCATATCAACAGCACATAATTCAGGTGCCATTCCAGTTATGGTGGATCTATTACAGGACAGGAATAATGAAGTGAGGGAAAAAGTCTCTGGAGCTATAGCCCAATTAAGTTATAATGAGATTGATAGGGCTGCACTTGCTGATGCAGGGGCAATTGAACGATTAATCGAACTGTTGCAAGATGAGTTAGAAGAGCTGAAAGATAATGCTGCTGAGGCCCTTATAAATTTTTCTGAAGACCTCTTTTACTGTGGTAGAGTATCTGAAGCAGTCAGCACTCCTGCTTTCCGGAATATGCAGGAAAGAATGACCCATATTCGCACTACTGAACAGCACAGTATGAGGTCCCTGCGTCAAATGGGAATTGACCAACTTACAAGGGATCCAGATCTGTAACTTTCTCCTGTGGTACTACTTTCATCATAGGTCTTTGTAATCTAAAAAGAATGCTCTCATACACCATACACCAGATATGAATACAAATTTAGATAGATGCATTGCACTTTATTTTCTTAAAGATAAAATTAGGACATAAATATGTTAGGAACACATTTATAACTAACTTGTTTCAATGTTTTCATGATCAATTATTTACATTTCAAATTAAGATATTTCCATTTCAAATACAGCATGAGAAAAATGAATTATTCCTGTTTGAGTTGGAGTAATTTATGACATTCTAGATGATTCAAATATCTTATAAGAAAAATATTAATTTAAGCATGCCCCTAGAGCTTTGAATCTTTAGCTCTCGATTTTAATTTTGGGTGGATCTTTGCTTTGCAAATATGTTTTTTTCTTCTGTAAGAAATTCCCAAGTTTACTTCTTCAATGAAGATTCATCAGAATGTAGCTAGTGATAATTACAGGACTTGATCCCTTCATTTTGGTATTATACTCCTTTCTATCAGCATTAATCTCTCTCTCTCTCTCTCTCTCTCTCTCTCTCTTTTGAAATAATTATTATCATATCGTGAGTTCTTCTTTCTAACTTCAATCTACGGGAAACTTTAATGATTGGCAGAGTTGGGACCATGCGTTTCTTTCACAAGTCATTCTTGCTGTGGTCCTTAGTCATTGGATTGAGGACAAGAGGGTTTGGGTACTGTACTCTTCTAGTGTTTTTATGTGAACCTTCTTTTTCTCTACCTTAATTCCCTCTTCCTTGATTAATTATCTCGATCTCCTTTTGAAGTTTTAGAAATTGGAGGTTCCCAAAAAGTATGAAATTCTTTTTGACTAGTGGCCCATGAGCGAATTAAGACTGTGAACACTATTTAGAGGTTTATCCTTTGTTTGTTTCTCCAGTGGTCCATATTGTGTAGGGAGTCAACAAAGGACTAGAATCATTGATTGTGGCACAACTCTTTTTCCGGCACAATATGGGGCAGATTCTTGCAAATGTTTGGGTTCAACCTCACTTCTAATTTGGATTTTAGTGGGTTATTCGAGGATGGAGGATAATTTCTTTGGCTAATTTTTTATTTTATTATTATTATTTTTTTCTATTTTATGGTGTACTCAACTGGAGAAATTGGAAGATTTTTTAGGACATTATCAGGTCGAGGAAATTGTGGAGCTATGCATTTCAGTGCCTTCATTTGGGCTTTGGTTGCTAGTTTCTTCCATAATATTCCTCTTTTCTGTTTGAATTATTGTTTGTTTGATATTTAAGGTTTCTATTTGTAGAGGTGGGTTTGAATTCTTATTTTTTGTTTGCTATATACATCCCGGGGCCGCTTTTGTTTGTTACACTTTGTTTTCAATCAATCAATAAATAAATTTTAAAGTTTTATTCTCTTAAGAAAAAAATTATTGATCTATCAAATTTTTAAAAGATGAAAAAAAACTCTGCTGAGTTTTTGAAAGGCACTCCACCCAGAGTTTTTATAGGAGAGGAAACAGTTCATGAATATTTTGGGCAAGAGCTCCATGGAGAAGCTACAAAGAAAAGTATCCCAAGATTTGGGTCCTTTTATTCATCTTGAAAAATTCATCTATTACTCTCTGGTCAAACCTCCTACAAAATTTCTCTTATAGGGCTAGACTAAAGAACTCCAGCTTTCTTCTTAAAATTGTTCCACAATTAAATTAATCATGCTGTTTATACTTTATACTGAAATGTCATACTCCAGCTAATTCTAGACGTGCTATGAAGCCTCCACCATAAGGATCTGGAGAAGTGCCGAGAAAAGATCAAATGGCTAGCATTTTTCATCTGTTTTACAGGGGATATAACAGTTCGGGTGGAGACCCTTGTGAGGATTTCTTGCTTCTAATCTGAGATTTCTACTCAGTCCTTCAAGAATCTTTCCATAGAGCCTTGAATAATGCTGTAGGCACAGAGTGATCTGCACAAGCTTGCAGAAAAGAGACTTGCACATAAAATTACCTGAAGGATCTATTTTACAAACTTCACGGCCCTCCAAATTTCAAAAAGCAACATTTTCCGGTTCCTGCAGAAGGTTTGTCCATTCCACTATTTAGAAGTAATGTCAAGTCCCAATGATTGTAGTGTTGGTCTCAAGACTGTTGAATTGAGGAGTCTCTGCTACCTGTCGATGCATAAAGTTTAGGAAAGATGGTTGCCAACACGCTATCTTTTATTATCCACACATCTTCCCAAAATTTTACCATCTACACCAACTCTGAAGGTAAAAAATTCAATCAGATTGTTTGGAAGTTTCAAAATATGCATCCATGGGTTGCAGCTGCTGGCTTTACTTCTTTTTAATTGTTAGCCATCCAAAATCTTCCTTGCTGTACTTACTACTCATAATTTCATGCCATAAGAGATCTTGCTTCAGAAGCCATTTGATTATGAGAGAAGTATTCATAACTGGTGTATTGCCAATACACAAAACTTCTGCTTCTTAAGGAAGGGAGACAATGTCTTAATTAATAAGATTACATCTTCCATCAAGGTCTGCCCCTTCACATAGGAGAAAATCTCTCAAAATTTTATCAATTTTTTTAGCCACACTTACCAGAGCCTTAAAAACCGATGAATAGTAGTTTGGGATGCTAACAAGAATGGCTTGGATCAACACGAATCTTTTTCTCGTAGAAGAATAAATTTTCTTCCGTTTTTGAACTCCTTCCTGAATTTTCCCTAAACAGGTATCCGAAAGTCCTGGTGAGTTGCCGCCTATCAGTAAACCCAGATACTTTAGAGGCCAATCCTCCACTACACAAGAGTAAGTATCTGCCACATACCTTCTTCACTATTTTGTTGATCCCACCTTTGTAATTGTGCAAGTTGACCCTCAAATGGGAGCTGACTACTTTAAACCAATTGCTCTGTCAAAAGGAGAGAAACTAGTGTATCATCTGCAAACTGCATAGTTTAATGATCAGGTCTCTCTTGATGTTGAAACCCTCTATAAAACCAGTCTTGAAGGCTCTCGAGAGCAGTCTACTTAGCCAATCAGCTGTAGTCTCTAAGTTTAATCAAATTTTGTTTCCATTAAAATACAATAGGCGGAGGTTGCAATTCAGTCATAGATTTACATGAAAGAATTCTAAAAGAATAATTTAAATATTGTAATGTGACAATTTAAATTTTGAGAACTGTTGATAATTTAATGCTTACTGAAGTGGAAAGTTTTTAGTTCAGCTCTCGATATCCTACTGTCAAAGCTCCAAGCTGAGTAATAATTCAGCAGGATATGAAATCTAGTTGCACCTCGTGCACATGCATAATATATGAAAAAAGTGAAAGGTCCCTCCCTACCCCCACCACCACTCCCAATGCTAATATCATAGGTTTTGGTTGATATGGAAATTATTGATTTATACTGACATTTAGGTTTTCAACTGAATTTTCATATGAAATTCTTCGAGTTCTTATCAGAGTTTCTTTTTTGGCTGATAGCCTCTTGCCACGTGGAAAGTAGGTCTCTTGAGCCGTTCTTAAATGAAAGGGATAAGTACCAGGTATTATTCAAATGCATTTCTAAAATAGAGTTGCAGGATTCAACACGAATAGTTGGATAGTTAAATCCCCTTCCCAGTTGGCTGCCCTATAGACTATAGAGGACACAAGAAGCTTCTTTAATGGACCTGCTGCTTCCATATGGAAATAAAAAACTTTAAAAGGAATGTGGTTTTTTCCTCTTGATTCTGGCTCCGGGGAAGGTTAATACTATGGAGAAGATTCCAAAGAATTCCTGCTACATTTTTCTTTTCTTTCAATCTTCTACTCTGCAAAAAGGGCTTTCAGGATCAGAGGGCATTTGTTTTTTGTTCTGTTCGTTTAGCTCTTCTTGCTGGAAGCTTTTGGGATGCATTGTTATTTCCATGAAGACTGTAAATGTACCATCTCTCATGTTGTGTTGTCATTTGTTCAAAGATGAGGCTGAAGTTCTTTGCAGTAATTCCATTAAGGATCTTTTGTAGGAAATTCGGATGGAAAGAAATAGAAAGACCTTTTTATGGTTAGCTAGCTTAGAAGTCTCAGTGATTTTGAGACCTTAGACAATTTCTTGCTTCTAGTTGGTATTTTCTTTAAAAAAACTTCTGATATTATATTTATAGTCATTTTTCTGTTCTTGCCAATTGGGATGCATTTTTCTAAGCTCATTAGCTGCAAGGGATGTTTCTTATCTTCCTCTTTTGTATTTAACCATTTCTTCGTAATGTATTACCTTATCCAAAAAAAGGGGGGAAAAAGAGAGCCTGCTAAATTAGGACATGGTTCATGTTAATGGTTGCAAGCCCAAGAATGAAAAACTATTTTTCATCAATGTTAGGCCACCTACGTAAAACTTAATATCCTACAAATTTCTTTGATAAACGTAGTTGTGCACAAGCTGACTCGGGCCCACATGGATATTACAAAGAATCTTTATTGATGTGGACACCTTTAATGATCACAAGTCGCATGATAATATACCACTCTGAAATTCACTAAAAGAAACACTGAAACACTACAATAAACATACAGGAAAACTTTCTTAGGATCTGTCGAAGATTTTTTGAATTCATTTATTTTAGGGTTGGATTTTGCTTTGGTTTTGGCACATTTCATGATGATATAGTTTGTTGTTAATAGGTTGCACTTCAAAATTTTAGCAAGTTTGGATTTATAAAGTCAGAATTGAGAACCCTACATCTATGTAAATGTGTCTGAATCGTGCAAATGAATTAGTTATAAAACTTGAACGATGTATTATAATTAGTGTTTGATTCTAGGATTATTCGTGAAAATTACTGTTTAGGAATTTTGGGGGTGTCATTTCATTTATCAATGACCATCTAGGCGTCCAAAATGGCGATGCACTCGCTGTAAATGACATATAGGCAGCCAACTTTCTCTAAGCTATTTACAAATATCAAAGATCAGAGACATAAATCAAAAGTTGAAATGTTCTGCATGGGAGAGGGATAGCTGCATAATTTCTGAAGTATCTGAATGATTTTTCAGCTTTTGTTAGATCGCCATCCCTCGAGTTAAAAGGAAAAACAATATCCATGAAAAGGAAAGAAGAAAAGCAGCCATGGCACCATAACTAAACTACTGCCATCTTCAGAAAGGTTTTCTGTTTGGATTTTGGTTTGTGTTTGCAGGTCTGTGACTCCATCCGATCCCGAGGCGTTTTTACTGTAACACAACTACTTGTTTGGCCGTCCCCCCACATCAGTGGCAGCAGAGCAGCTGAGGAGATGTGAATATAATATGCCATGGAAGTAGCTGCCACAGCCTCCAATGGCATCCTAGGAGGAGTCGTACACACACAGCATGCAGTGCCCAAATCTGCACTGTTTCATCAGCTAAGCTTCTTTCCACACACATATCCTATTCTCATTCTTTTTAATTATATGTGACATGATAGCAACTCCATGTTTAGATCTCCAGTGAAGAGAGAGAAGGAAATCTATTACTTTTATTCTCCTATGTTTTTTTCCTCCGATCTCAACTAATACGAAGGAATAGTTGCTTGACCCTACAATATTTTATAGTTTAGAAACTCATAGTATATTAACATCTTACAGTGGTTTGAATCAATTTCTCTTTTTGAGTCTATTGCTCCATATTCTCTATATTTCTCTTCTTTCAGTTTTTGTGACAACTTACTTTTGTGTACGATCTTATATTTACAATATAGTTAATTTTGGCCATTCTCTTAATATACTTCTTGAGGTTAGGAAAATCCTTTATTGGATCATAGTTAGCATTTCAGATTGTGCCTTTGACTAAGGATGAGTTTGGTATAACTTTTAGAGTAATGAAAAGTGTTTCTATACTTTATTTGATCACAATAAGTATGTCTCATCGTGTCCTACACTTTATTTGTATGACACATGCCACGAAATTAATAGTGAGTTTGGTATGATTTTTGAAACAGTAAAAATTGCTATAATTTAAAATTTTTATAGTGTTAAATTTTACAGATAAAAATAAGCACTCAAGAGCATTTTCACAAGAAGCTTTTAGTCATGATTCCTCCAAAAATGATTATATAGGAAAAGTATCACTCTGAAAAACTCATTTCAAGCACAACCTAAATCGACATTAGTTTCTCAATTTCTTGAGTGGAAGCACTAACGAAGTATGAACCACACAATGGCAACAAATGACGGTGAATGCTTCAACTATTGTCAACCAATAGTAAGAAAGAGAGATTCATCCCATTGACCAGTAATCGAGCTATATGACGTCAGATGATCGGGAAGGGGTCGTAAAAGATGGAGAAAGAAGGTGAAGGGGTGGAGTTAGAATCCCATAAGAGGACATGGAGGAAAGGAATAGAGGGAGTGTGGAAGAGGATGAATGCTTGAAAATGTGGTGCAATGTGTAGTGGTGGATTTTGGAGATTTGGAAGTTAGCTGTAAGAATATTGTATGTCATAAGGAGAAGGTGGGGCTTTAGGTTCACTCATTGGTCAATGGACTCGTGGTGTTACAAACAAACTTCCAAACCCTAAAATCCAACAAGGTATCATTGAGTTCTCTTTTCAATCCAACTATTCTACGACAAAACTCATAACCCTTTTCCTTTTCATTTTCATTTCCATGTGGCTTTTTGTAGGTGTTTACATTAAAATCAGTTTTTTTTTTTTTAAATTAATTTTATGAACAAAGTCCAATGCCAAAGAGAGGGAACAATGAAGGGTATTGAAAATTTTCAGCCAAAGAGAAAGAAAAGCCTTCATTCTTTCCCAAATTTGAAGGAAAGAAGGGAAAAGGGAGAGAGATGATAAAAGAGGGGTATAATTGTCAATTTAATTTTAATTTTAATTCAAGGGCGGTATGACCAAGCTGATCTTTGAAAAGGGGGAAGCTGATCTTTGAAAAGGGGGCAGGGTCTTCAGTTTAATTATCTTCGTTCATTTTGTCCATGTACTCTAAAAAAACTTTAAAACTACGTCTCTAATTTTAAAATTAAAATTCTAATAACCAACATGAAGGTCTCTAATTTTAAAATTAAAATTCTAATAACCAACATGAAGATAGCGTAATGGTAATTGACAAGTTTCACTTACTTTGAAGTTGGTGGTTTGATCTCTTATATCCTCGAATTGTTGTACTAAAAAAATATTAAAATTTTAATATATCTCTTAACTTTGTCTAAAAAACTATTTTGATGTTCACCATTAAATTTTTATTAAATCATAAAATAAATCTCAACTTATTTCAATACTTAACATTTGATCTACGGTAGATGGTTTCACATACTTATTCAGGACTCTTCATCATATAAATCAATAAAATGACCAAATTTTTTGTTAAACAATTTACAAATGAAATTTAAACCTAATATTACCTCTTTTAAAACCAACAAGAATAAAATTGAGAGAGAGGAACAGCAGAGGAACCCCAAAAGGATACATTTCCACCATTGTCCATTGCACATGTTGAGTAGTAGTTCAAAGGAAAAGAGAGAGGTACATTTGAAAGCAAAATCCCCTTGAAAAGGCACAGCACAGCCCCTCAGACAAACAGACTTGAAATCACAATCCAATTATTGAACTCTTAACATACGCCTACAAAAGCTACATTCCTGCCTCTCACTCACATCTCTCTCCTTGGAAGTCTCTGCCTCTCTTCACCATCCAACAACCAAAACTCAGCTTTGTTCCTCTGGCCATTTCTACTTGGCCTTTCCATCTTGGCACCTGCTTCTTCCCTCCTTTATTTTCGCCATTCAAATATCTAATTGAAAGCTTAAACTCACCTAATACATCTACTAATTTCCTCAAAATATCACCTACCCACGTTCTATAAATAGAGATACAGATGTTCGAACATTCCTCAACGAGCTATCTAACAGGTACCGTTGGCGAAGAGCGGAGTAGAGTGGAGTGGAGTGGATTTTTCTTTTCTTTTCTTTTTTTCTTCTTTTTTTTTGGTTTTTTTTTCTTTTCCTGACAATGGGTAGTGAGAACTGTAATGCCAGAGCAATGAACTCCTCCATTGCCTTGCTGCAGGAGAGATTTAGACAATTGCAGAAAGCTAAGGAGTTGAGAGAGCAGAAAGAGTTTCGAAGGATGTCGTCTGAGGCGATACAGGCCAATACAGGCGTTTGCTCCGAGCAAACTGGCTTGTTTTTCCATTCTGAACTAGTTCTTCCACCTAGGCCACCATTCCAAGGCTCTTCGTACCATCAGCCAATCTTGGAAAGCAGAAAATCTCATCTTCAAGTCACAGATAATATTGACATGGGGTCAAGAGATACAGTCATGCACAGAACAAACTGTGTTGATGATTCAAATATTGACACCTCTCTTCATCTGTGAAATATTTATAACGTTAGTTTATTGTTTGTTGGTGCTTGTCTTGCATTTTCAATGTAATCCTTCACCTTCTATATGGTGTTGTAAGAATGAGGGAACAAAAATGAGTTATGCTCACTAATTTCTATCACTACTATTATGATCATCATTTTGATGCTCACTAGAGAGGCTGTCATCAAGTCTCTCTGATGATAATAAATTATCATTTTCTACACTACCAGACTCCCCATTACTGCTCCATTTCTTCTTCACGACTTTTGGGACAAGATGAGCCACTTCACCGTTATCATCATTCACCCGTTCAAACCGAACAGCACTAACCTTTCTAGCATTTCCTGCTAATATCTGCACAAAGGTCCAACATATCAACCCCATTACTCTGAAACTAAAGAAACTGAACAAGACATAGCGTGAAATTGCTGAAAAAGATGCGAGTATTGTGGTGAAGATACAAGGTAACTTTCAAGGTGTCGGAAAAAATGAAGAACTGAGACATAAATCATATTACTATGGAGTTTTTCTTTTCTTAAAAAGAAACAAAACTTCTCATTGAAGAGAAAAGGAAGTACAAGGAACAGTCAGAATAGATTCCAGCCGAGTATTCTATCTTAAGTACTGATATTCAATTGAAACAAAACAACTGATACTCGGCTTAATAGTTAATACTAAAATCCAAACCTGAAAGTTAAGGAATTGTATCACTAACACTAGGGGCAGTTAGCCTCAGTTCAAGAAAAAGGGACCTAAACGAGACATGTAAGACAGCCTGGAAAGACTTAATTTACAGAGTAATGTACTTGCGTGATGCATTCTTGTGCATATTATTAAATAAGAGATTCATAATCTATATAAACTACATATAAATACCACTGACCAAAGGCAATGACGTAAATGATATTATACGCAGATCAATTATGAACTAGTGGCAGATAAAAAAATCACACCAAAGAAAATGAAAGGTTGATCGATTATCCCATGCTTTTTGGTACTTGTCCAACAAATTATACCGAATGAAATTGTAGTCAATACAGAGATGAAATTATACCTCAATATTAAAGACCAAGTGTCTTTCCTTCTGAATCTTGTTTTCAGCATTGGACTCTTCTTCTTCTTCATCTTCCTTTTCAAGGACCACTTTAACAGTTTCACCAGTCCTTGGGATATATCCAAAAGCCTCGCAAACAAAACCCGACACTGTCTCATATTGATGACCCTAAAGTGGCAAGAAGTAATAGGTAAGAAATTAGTAGGTATGCTCAAGCGGTTGTTCCATGAGATTAGTTGGAGTGTGTGCAAGCCAACTTGGACGCTCACAAATGATAAAAAAAAATAATAATAATAAAATAGTAGTTAGCATTCAAAATACAATTTCAAGATTATAGATACGTAGGTACGTATGTAGGTATATGCTATATATAAATTTAGAAGTAAAAATGTGAGTTAATGGTTATATGACTATTCTGGTTTTTGCTCTTTGGTTAAGTAACAAAAATTTCAATAAACCGAGGATAAATATATACAACTGAATGTCACTACAATTCAAGACAACAAATTAAAACCCATGTAATCAATGAAGTTGATAGAAACCAAATAGCTAAAATAGATTGAAAGATAAAAAAGGATAAAAGCATTGCAATAATCCCAAGTCATTCCCAGGTACTTGGACCCTCCCCTATTGAAATCACTCAAGCTTAAACCACACTATCACTATGAATATTGGCTGTATTCATCCTTTTCCCCACGCTCTATTTTATTTTAACAACTTCCCTATCCTTAGAACTCAAGGATACAGTTGTACAACTTATAGAACAGATTCTGTTCAAGTAAGGTCATTTATAACAACTTTCCTATCTAATTACTAACATACCCTTACTATTCTTTTCCCCTAAATCTATTCTTTGACAGTTTCCTTCCGGTGTTCTAGGGATCGAAGCATCTCTATAGACTATTCGGTTTCAAGGAAATTAAGACTCTTAAAAATAAAATCACTAGATTGGTTAAAAAATATGGAATATTTCAAAGAGTCATGCTTTACATCAGCCAGAACCTTTCTCTAACTATTTTTATGGGGGAGGGGTGGGGTCATTTTTGTAAACTGCTTAGAGCAATATTTTTGTTTTTGTTTGCTGTATGATGCTCAAGGGGGGATGCAGGAATACTTTTTTTTTAGGGAACAAAACAGCTTAATGGCCTGAGGGGGGTCCCTAAGCCTAAAAAAGAGAAGGGAACAAAAAAGGCCTTCAATCTAGGTTGATGAGGAGAGAGAAGGCA